GAAAGTCTTGTTTAACAAACCTTCTGACATTCTTTGAGAATGTTACTGCAAAAGTTGATGAAGGAAATACTGTAGATTTGGTTTACCTTGATTTTCAGAAATCATATGATATGGTTCGTCACAAAAGACTTGTTACAAAAGTTAAATCTGTGGGTGTGGGGGAAATGTTATTAAATTGGATACAAAACTGGCTGGAAAGTATAAAGCAGAGAGTAGTAATAAATGGATTTAGATCTAACTGGATCACAGTTACAAGTGGTGTACCTCATGGCTCTGTGCTGGGTCCTCTGCTGTTTCTGATTTATATTAATGATATTGACTCTGGAATGACCAACAAAATTTTGAAGTTTGCAGATTACATTAAGAGTTTTGGGGTGGCTAACTGTATCAAAGATGTCGCAGACTTACAGGAGAGTTAGATCATTTGATGCACTGGGCCAATATGTGGCAGATGATGTTTAACATCCAAAAATGTAAGGTGATGCATGTAGGTTTTCACAATTCAAATTATTGTTATGAGTTAAATGGGAATACATTAAATACTGTGGTTGGAGAAAAAGATCTTGTTGCTGTGATCAAAAATCACTAAAGTCATCTAAGCTGTGTATTGTAGCTAGAAATAGGGCTAATAGGATTTTGGGTAGCATCACTGTATGTTTCACTGTATGGATCACTTCTGAGGCCACATTTAGAGTATCATGTTCAGTTTTGGGTTCTCTTCTTCAAGCAGGACATTGAATTGTTGGAGAAGATTCAATGAAGAGCTACTAGGATGATGATATTGTCCTATGAGAAGAGACTAAAATCTCTAAACTTGTTTTCTCTGGAGAGGAGAAGGGTCAGAGGGGATTTGATTGAGGTGTTTGAGATTATTAAGAGTATTTATAATATAGATCCATCAAATTTTTTGTGTTTAGCAGTGAAAACAATAGGATAAGGGATCATAAATTAAACTTTTGACAGTGTAGGAGTTATTTGCAGTTTAGAATATTACTTTTCAAACAGGGTGGTTGGCTTTTGGAATGAGCTGCCTTCAAGGGTGATGGAGGCAGAAAATTTAACTGAGTTCAAGAAAAGATTGGATGAATACATGATTAGTAAGGGGTGGTTATAGTTGGGAGCTGGAAAGGACATCCTTGATGAGCTAATAAACTCCTTTTTGTCTCGTTCAGAGGATTAACTGCTTCCAAGGCTATTGGAGTCGATAATGAACCTTCTTTCATCATTAAAACAGAGCCTAAAACACTCATCAAAACACACTTAAGTTTTAAGTGTTTGAGTGTAAGTGCATAAGAATAAAAGCACAGATATTACAAATTTAAAGGAGCAATTAAAGTTTAATTAATTATTTAAAATGATACTTGCATGTGATTTTCAATAGATACACATTAGATCTGTAGATATTTCTAACAATGTCTTGGCCCTCCAATGTAATTTTAATCTAACAAAGAATACACTTTGACTTGTAAACACATGGCCACTTACTTACCTTAAGTTCTGATATTTACAGAAGAGTAAAACAAAATTTTTTTTTGTATGTTACAAACAAAGAAAATTCTTGAAAAAAAAAGAAAACATTTCTGAGTTAGTGATTTTATTCGGTAAAATTAGTTTAACACAGTACTACAGCACAGATAAGTTACCCACAAATAAGTAAATACAAAAAAAAATTATAATGTGCCATACAATTTCCAGGCATGTGAGTGGGCCATGAGCAAATCCAAGGACAATTGGCCTGTAGTTTGGGTACTGCCAAACATACCCCTACCCTCCACCACCATCACTACAAAATTTTCTTGTTGAATCTGAATTGACCTAGTCATTGAAACAATCTTCACCAATTTAATAAAAATGTCAAGTATGACTGACAAAAGAAAAAAAATACCAATCTATTTCACCAATGTAAAATTTATTTAAATACAGTTATTGCACATTTGGAAGATGTCAGTTTGAGCAGTTTTATTACTTATTGGTTAATCATTATGAACGTGAAACCTTTTAATGCATGTGTAAGCCACATTTTATGATGGTATCCCACATGGGAGTATTTAAAGATACTGGAAACTTTTAAAAGTAAGGATGATGGAAAGGTCAAATATTTATGCCATCTTAAAGGTGTTATTTATACTTGTTAACTATCTATTGTAATATACTAAACTTTATTGTATCTAATTGAAAAGAGTGAATTAATTTGTTAACTCTTTGTATATAGGTTCAACTTTGTGAATAGCTTCATGCAACCATGAAGCTATTCATACTATAACTCAATGTACTAAGTGTCATCACAAAATCTAACAAGCTTTTAATAAATGTTATAAGCCTGGTGTACAGACAAATATCAGGTTTTTTAATAAAGTATTTTTTTACTAAAGATTTGTTTGTGAATTTACAAAACATTTATTGAATCAGTCTGAGTGAAAGGTTATTTTCATGATAAAAATAC